AAGCTGATAGGAATACAGGGAGATAGCAGTGGTAATGGCCGTGATGGCCATTCCTTGCTACCTGCCTCATGGTCGATGAAAAAAAGCTGGGAAAAGAACCTCTTGTGTCCTCGTCTGCAGGCAGAGCTGTTCTAGTGTCTCTGAAGGTGGTGGTTGAAGCAGTGTGCTCTGACAGTCACCTGCCATTGCAGATGGGCTGGGTTTGCTGGAGGGTTGTTACAAAATTTAAGGTGGAAATGCCTGCAAGAAGTTCTGATGCATATTGTGATCTGCCTGGGCACATGCTGACCCTGGGCAGAGGGTGGAAGTGGTTTGGCCTTTATGCAGGTGGTCATTTTGGCTCTGTGTTCTCAGGAAGAAGTTCAAAACTCGTTCAGGGGATACAGTGCGTCTTGTAGACCTGCTGGAGGAAGGGCTGAAACGAGCTATGGACAAGCTGAAGGACAAGGAGCGGGACAAGGTACTTGTGACAAATTGCTTATCTTTCCTGAGAACTTCCCAGATTTTTTCACTAACTTATGGTTTCCACATTGTGGATGTGAGCTGAGTGTGATTACTTGGTAGGCAGGTCAGGCAAGGTGCTGTCAAGGGAAAGAAGAGCATCCCTGAACACATGGCAGCGGGGAGATCTGAGCTGCAGGCAGCACACTGGCCTCTGGTACTGCAGAGCTCCCTCAGGAGAGGAGGGCCTGGCAAGACAGCTGGCCTTGCTGGTGCTGTGAGGCCTCCACATTGCGATGGCCACAGCTGTGACTGCCCCAGGGTGCAGGAGGTGGGGCAGAATGGAACGTTGCAACCTTGGCCTGCTCGTCTGCAGTGAGTTGTGGTAGTGGGTGGCCAGGGATCTGCTGGGGACTTTGGCTTCACCCTTTCCCTTGGGTGCTGTGGCTAAGTTTGCTGAAAGCCCTTTGCTTTGCAATGTCTTTAATGACATTTCTTGGTAGCCTGGAGAGAACTGAACAGTGTGGGACATGGAATGGAACAGAAGGACCACACTGTCTACTCACTGTGTGAGTCTGGAATTGGGAAGCACAGCTCCTTAGTGCTGTGCAGTGTAGGGTGAAAGTGAAAGATCCCTTTTTAAAAAGGAGCACAAGGAAGCACATTAAAAAACACCTTGAAAATCTCACAAGGGTTCACTTGAGCCTAACACAAAAGCGCTTTGCCTTGCTGACAGGGCAAGGTTCCACCAGAGAGGGGTTTTGTGTCCAAAATCCTCTATAAAGGTAGGAGGGCTGTGTGTTTATGTGCACATGCAGTTTGTAAGAAGCAGGAACACCTTATCAGCACCAAACCTTTGTGGCAAACAGTTCATCATGGGGCCAGAGGTCTGATGGGCCTTCACAAGCAAAGGGTGTCAGCCTTAACCTGGCAGGGCTGCAGGGCCATTGGATTGCAGGGGAAGTGAGGGCTGGAGCCGTGCTGAGTGGCTAAGGCTGAATGTTGTGGCTAGTGGTACCAACATAACCTCCTTCCTCATGACTTATCTGTTCTGGAATTGCAACAGGTCCTCACGGCAGAAGAGCTGAAAGCTGCCCAGACGTCAGTCGCTTTTGGATGTATTAAATATGCAGATCTCTCCCACAACAGACTAAATGATTACGTGTTTTCATTTGACAAGATGCTGGATGACCGGGGGAACACAGCTGCTTACTTGCTGTACGCCTTCACCCGCATCAGGTATGTTGAGAGTTGTTTGGATTTGATCTCTGATGCTCTTGCAAAGGGAGATGTGGGGAAAGGGGTGAATTATTGCATCAGTGCTGCTAAGGGTGGTTAGTAAGAGAAGCCAGCTACACCAGTATGCACCATAGGAAAGGTTTTATTTGTCATTTGGAATGGTGTCATCTGCTGTCTGCAGCAGGGCTCCTCTGTGCACCGTGTGTCCCAGGCCTTTAGCTGGCTGGGAGGAACTGTGGGAGTTTCAGTAATTCCATCAGAGGTATTGGGTGTTTGGGAAGGGGTGAGCCTCTGTTCCAGCACCTCCTCACATCAGTTTATTGCCATGCCCCATGCAGGCTTTCTGGCACCCCGAGCTCTGGTTTGTATGGCAGCATCAGCTGTCCTTCCTGACACTTGTGCCCAGAGCATGTCCCTCCCTGTTCCTCTGCAGTGCATTCCGGGGCTGGCTGCTCTCTTCTGGCCTGGTAACCGGACTGGGCAAGTGAGGAGGCCAGCGGGTGGCCAGTGCTGGCCCTGGGCAGTGGAGAGGTGGGACCCTCACAAGCAGACTGTGGTTTGGGTCATTGCAGGGCCATTGCCCGCCTGGCCAACATTGACGAGCAGATGCTGCGCAAGGCAGCCAGGGAAGAGGTGCTTGTTCTGGACCATGAGAAGGAGTGGAAACTGGGCAAGTGCATCCTGAGGTTCCCTGAGATCCTGCAGAAGATCCTGGAGGACTTGTTATTGCACACGCTCTGTGACTACCTTTATGAGCTGGCCACCACCTTCACTGAGTTCTACGACAACTGCTATTGTGTTGAGAAGGACAGGCAGAGTGGTGAGTGCTGGCCATGGGGCTTGCTGCAGAACCAGTGTTATTCATGTGGGAGAACTGAAGATGGCTGGCAGAGCTTGTGTGGTCACCGGCCTGTGAGCAGGTGGAGTAGAGAGCTGTGAGCAGCCTGGCACATGGAAATGCAGGGCTCGTCAGTCTTCCTGGCTTTGGAGGGCGGCAGGGGGCTCAGCCAGGGCCAGGCTGTGGGCAGAGGGGGTTCCCCTGGGGAAGGCAGCATTGGTTGTCCTGTTCCAACTCCCATGGTGATGTTTTGCAGGTCAGATCGTGAAGGTGAACATGTGGAGGCTGCTGCTATGCGAAGCCACTGCCACCGTCATGGCCAAAGGATTCGACATCCTGGGGATTAAGCCTGTGCAGAGGATGTAGCTGTTTCCTGTGGGGTGACAATAAAGGGACTGAACAACTGGAAGTGTCTGTGTCTTTTGGGGTGGGGTTGTGGTAGGAAAGATGCTCTGGGGGAGCAGCACTCCCTTAGGATTAAAAAGAGGGAATAAAAGTCAAGGGGGAAGTAAGAAGGCAAGAAGGGAAGGGGGAGGGAGTAAGGAAAGGAGAGCACAGGAGCAGAACCTGCAGGTACAGAGGCAGATGAGTGGCCACAGGCACAGCTCAGAGCAATTCTCTGCAGGAACCAAACCCCCCAGACCCATACACAGCACACCTCTCCCTCAGGCTGCAGTTTAAGGACTGAGAACTCAGAATGACCAAGAGCACCTCCAGGAAATCCTCTAACCACAGTGCAGTCACCCATGCTGCTGGAGGCACCTTGCTTTGATGGCTCTCACCACCCTCTTTACCTTACTGCCAAGTGGGAGCAGGTCCCCAGTTTCTGCTGTCATCTCTGGCATCCCTCAGCCGAGCACAGAGCTCTTGGGAGCCAGGCAGCCTCATCCCAGCCCAGCAGTGCCAGCCCGGAATGCTTGTCTCATGGGAGGTGCTCATGAGCTGACCAAGGCAAGTCGGGTACCTGTGACAGATGGGACATCACACTTGAGACCTGAACTTGAACACACGTGTGGGATATGAAACCACACGCTTCCCACAACACCGCAGCACAGGCAGTGGGCTGCACCACCTGCATCCACAGCACTGCGCTGTGCACGGGGCCTGGACCAGCCTGCACAAGAGGGGTGCTCCCTGCGCGCCTCAGGGCAGCAGCGCCGCCAGCAGCAGGCAGGAGGCTCACCAGGGGAGGAGCAGAGCGATTAACTCCATTCCCGCAGGAAAACACGAGGGAAACGCCGTTCCCCAGAGCAGCGATGTTCTGAATCCCTGCAGAGCTCGCAAACCTCTGCTGCGTTTGCAGGGGAAACCTCGAGGAAACACCGTCAGCTACAAGGCAGTGGGCCGTGGCTCCTTCCTTTGCTTTGGGGGGTGGGGGCAGCTGCTGCGCGAAGTAAAGCAGCACAGAAACAGCTTTGCTCCTGTCCGAGCAGGTGTTGCTCTGGGTTGAGGTGCTTGCTGCCATGCATCAGTGTGTCTATATGCACGTGTGCGTGCACATTTCTGTATAGATACACACAGATACAAAAGATAGGGGTATTTTTACCCGATGTCCCATAGGCAGTGGCTGGGGAGGGCTCAGCTGTGGCAGCCCCCAGCGCACCCAGCGCACATGCTGTGCACACACGGTCTCCTCACGGCTGCCCGACGTGGCCACCAACACCCCAGCGCCAGCACCCGCAGCCCGAGCCATGGGGGGTCCGCCCCGGGCCCGCACCACCGCCCGGCCCTCCCCGCTCCCATCCCGAGTACCTGAGCGTGGGCAGCGCGGGCACGGAGCGGCAGCGGGGCCGCCCGGGTGTCCCGGGTGTGGCGCCGCAGCGGGCGGGGGTGACCGGGCAGGGTCAGGCCCTGTGGTACCGGCACCAGGCGCGGTGCAGCGGTGGGCACGGGCCCAGGCAGGGACAGTGGCAGGGCCTGGGCTGGGGTCCAGGCACCGGCTGCTCCTCATGGTCACCAGCAGAAGGGCACAGCAGCCCCGAGTGTCAGCACTGAACCCTCGGCAGGGCAGGGCAGGGCAGGGCAGGGGGCACCCCTTGGAGAGGGCAGCCCCGCAGCTCACCGTGGCACCTGTGGGAAGTGGCCCGGTGGTAGCAGGAGGTGCAGGATCTGCAGGTCCAAGGGTGCCTCAGAGTCCCTGTGGGGCTATTCCGGGGGGGGGATGCAGCCCCAGGCTGGGCTGGGGGGGTCAGTGTCACACAGAGGCCGGGGCTGGCTGAGGGGTCAGTGCTGGGGGCTCCGGGGCAGGGCAGTGTCAGCACAGGGGAGCCCCTGCCCAGCCGCGGGGCTGCAGTGCCGCAGAAGGTCCAAGCCGACTGTTGGGTGCACCAAGGGCTGGGGGCACCCTGAGGGAACGGAGGCAGGAGTCAGTGTGAGAACAGGGCTGGCAGGGCAGCCGCTGGTCCCGCAGGACCTGAGCCGGGCAGAGGCGGCCGGCAGGGACAGCCCAGAATCCAGATCATCAGACACATCATGGCCGTGAGGTCCAAGGTGGAGGCAGGGGGTGAGCCAGCGAGGGAGGGGCGGTGACAGCAGCCAGGGTCAGGGCACTCTGATCGCCAGGCGAGCCCGCGGTGAGCAGCAGAGGCCGAGGTCACGCCGGGAAGTCAGTCTGTGGGTCAAGGCCCGCAGGTTACCGGGTGACCAGGCTCGGGCACGGCCCTTGCTCTGCCCCCGCCGCGGCAGCAAAACCTCCACTCCAACCCGTCCCGCAAGGGCCGGTCAAGTCAGCCCCAGCCGAGGCGTCCCTCCCGGCACCAGCCACTGCCCCACAGGTGCCCCACGGGTGCCCTCCCTTGGCCCCAAGCCGGAGGAACGCTCCCAGACTGCGAACAGTTGTGATTGATCCATAAACCCCACCCTGAGGCTGAGCTTCCCCCTGCTGCGGGGAGCGGCCGGGCCCCGGGCCCTGCCCCAACGCGCTGCTCAGAGCAGGCGGCAGCAGGGTGGTACCTGGAAGAGTCTGTTGCACTCCATGATCATGTGCGCCAAGCCCTGCGTCGCTGCCAGGTTCTCACTCAGCTCCCGCTGGTCCGGCTTCCCCAGGCTGCACTTCCTCTGGCTGGATCTGGGGAGAGGGTCGGTAAGGGCAGGCTGTGAGCAGGCAGCTGTGCCCCACAGCGCAGGGTGCCCGCTCCGCTGCTCTGCCTGAGGCGGGGAGCCAGCACCCAGTGAAAGCACTGCACTGACGGACCCGCTCTGCCGTGCAGGGGCGCCTGCTGTGTCGCTACAGCAAGGTCCACAGCCAGCACTGCCTCCAGCACGCCAGGAGTGCCCGCGGCAGCACTGACCACTGTGCCCAAGAAAGACAAGTCAAGGCTTGTTATTCCCCAGGCACATCAACACAAGTGGCCAAAGGCAGCAATGACCCCAAACTGATGTGTGTGTACTACCAAACTCCTTGGATAACCCTGCAAAGCCCACACAGAACCTTCTAAATCTTTTAGCCCAAACCGCACCAACCATGTTTCAAAAACAGTCCCCTCTTGTAATTCATAATCACTACATGACATCATTAATCCTGGCTTCTGATACTTTCATCTACATGCATTCCTGCCAAATGGCTTGAAAATTGGGTTGAAGATAAGAGTCCTCAGCGCTGCTCCTCAAAGTCAGACCTGTCAGCTCCTGCCCTTTGAAGTCAGAACCCTACACTGCGGCATTAATGCCCAGTTACAAAGAAGCTGAAGCTTCAAAGCATCCTGGCTTCTGAACAGTGACAACAAAGAGAAAACTCTATTTTTTGGTCCCAGTATTTCAGAGCAATGGTCATGTAAGCCAAAGAGGTACAGCCTCAAAGTGTGGCTCCCAGGGGCTCAAACACAGCACAAGCCTGGCAGGATGGGCTGCCACCAAAGCTCCACCACACTGGCTCCAGGCCGTGTGCTGGCTCAGCCCTGGGCTCTGGGTGTGCTTGGGCAGCTTCACATCTTCTGTGCCACTCACAAGAAAAGCCCCCAGTGTTTTCTTCCGCCCTCCAGTGCCTACGCCATCAGCCTGGAAGACACCAGCAGCACAACTGACAGCTTCAGAGCTCATCCTCATCTTCAGCTCCCCACAGCAAGGCCTCGAACTGCTGCTCCAATGGGTGCACAGGTTCCATCCACCAGGCAGCCGTCCTCTACCCTGACAGATGTCTGTCCGTACACAGGAGCATGGAGCAAACAGCCCTGCCTCAGGAGACCAGATAAGGCATGAATGCTTCCAGAGATTATTTATCTGCTTTGGCCCAAGGGCACCTTTCTCCCTGCACGTACAAACTGGATCTGATGCAGCCCAGAGACTTTTACTTATTAAGATAAATTGACAGCATCCTGGTGGCTGGGTTTGGCAGGAATGATCCCCTGGTGATAACCCAGCAGAACTGGTGCCAGCAGCTGCTGCAGCCTGCCAGATACCTGCAGGGCCTTAAAGCTCCACCTGAGCTTAGGATGCCAGCATAGGAGTCACATTTCCAACAGCCAGCACTAGTCCAATGCAGCCAGTGGGAAACAGAATCATAGAATCACAGAATGGTTCGGGTTGGAAGGGACCTTAAAGCCCATCCAGTTCCAACCCCTGCCACGGGCAGGGACCCCTTCCACTAGAGCAGCTTGCTCCAAGCCCCTGTGTCCAACCTGGCCTTGAACACTGCCAGGGATGGGGCAGCCGCAGCTTCTCTGGGCACCCTGTGCCAGCACCTCAGCACCCTCAGAGGGAAGAGCTTCTGCCTAAGAGCTCATCTCAATTTCCACTCTTTAAGCTGGAGACTGATGCATTCCTGGGCAGCTGGACCTGGGGCAGCTGCGAAGAGCACACCAGTGGGGAGGGAGGCAGGCTGGCTCACACACAGACCAGGCAGGAGCATAGCACTGTGACTTTTTACCACTCTGCCCTACACAAGACAAGCAGCCACTGGATCACCCCATGCACTGCGTCAGCTCCTGCTGCCCCTGAACATAGCTGAAACAAACACCAAGACATGCACTATTTCCCTCTTCAAAGAAGACAGTGACCTTAAGCCAGCATTGTTCCAGCTAAGAACACTATAGAGAGCAGCAATGCCAGCATTAAGATGCTAATACCTAGTAGAGGAGGAGGTACTGTCCCTCCTCAGGGTGTTGAGGTGAAATAAAGACGGTGCAAGACAGACAGCAATGTTGGTTGGGGTCATCTGGTTTTCCTCCACAAAAGCAACCACATCTCGCAGGAAGAACAGGAGGATTTTCAAAGCTTCTCGGTTTTCCTTTGGGAGAAGGACAATTGCAGCCTGGACAGCCTGGAACTGCTGATCCTTTGGCACATCTGAAGACAGGAAAGAATGATGAACATCACACATGACTTGCAGAGGATGCATCCATCAACACAGCCCCAAGCAGGGCATTGGAACAGTAGGTCCATCCATTTCACTGTCACTACAGTGCACTACAGCCAAGGCAAAGGCTGTTATCACTGTCACATCACACAAATACAGTTTTCACCTGCTCCCTGTCAAGGTGCACATTCACACCCAGTGATGCTGGTGCGTGACTTGCAGTTTATCTATCTTGAACACCACAGTAATGGATTTATCCTGAACTGGCTCTGGTTACTATCCAAATAAGGGCCTGTCTCCCTATAAAATATGACTCTGGAATGTTACTTTGGAGGGTATAGGTACTCCACTGTCTTTTCCTTTCAGCTTCAGGCATGAAGAGAACAGATGCTCTCGGATAACTCAATTCACAGAACTATGTTTGCCAACAGATTTCAATTCACGCTGAACCACAGTGGGACTGTGTGCCCAAATAGCTCCTGCAGAAGGTCAGGAACGGCTCATCCTGTCATGCATCCCCCTATCATGAGGGTGTCTCCAACTTACACCACTACAAAGGGAAGAAGATCACTTCTCTTTCCCTTCAAGTAGAAGCATGTGCATAGAACACACAAAATACTCTTCTTGGTGAAAGCAGCACATTTTTTATCTCCAAAAACCAGATGTGGCAGAAGATGGGAGAGCAGAATTCAGACACTTGCTGTTTCTAGCCCAGAACAAGAGACAGGAGGTGGACAGTGGCCAGGTTATAATAAATGGAATTAAACAGTTCCACATCCATTGGACAGAGGAATTGAGGACTCCTTTACAAAAAGGATTTGTGAATGCAAAAAGAAAACTTGTTTCAAACAAACAACATTTTTAGACAAAATTCTAAAAGCCTGACAGGTTAAAAAATGAAACCCAAACCCAGCCTTCCTGGACACACATCATACCCAGGACAGCAGCAACTCATTTACTCACATTGATCACAGGAAGCTCACACTTGGGCTTTCAAAAGCTTTCCTCAAAACTTGCTGTAACAACATCATCATGAGCCCCCAGAGCAATTTCCTTCCCCAGCCCAGCTGCTTCTGGAAAGTAAATTCCTTGAGGACAACGTACTGGAGGCTGAACCTGTTTATGCTCAAAGCCAGATTTCAGCTTCATTTTTCCTTCTTTGACAGGCTGAATCTCAAGGACAGTAACAGTGGGAGCATGGGCAGAAAGGTGCTGGCATGTCCAGGGAAAAGGGCTGTTTCACAGCAACCTTAATAAGGGAATTTTGTCAATATAACATGACTCCTTGCAGAAGGAGACACTTCATACCACGCATAAGGGGACTAGGTTCTTTCTTGATTTTGCATGAGGAAACAGCCATTTTAAAGCACAGTTTAGGAGGCTGCTGTGACATAGGGTGTCACACTCATCCTTCAAAGCACAGAAAAGACAGTGTTAGTAAACAGCTGGCCCATAGGATGCAGATGTGCAGCTCTTCAGCCCAGAGCCACAATGAACTCCTCTCAGAACCATCCTGCCTGATTTGTCTCCAATGCCACAGGGGACATGGCACTAATCCTCCTCTGACTGCAGCCTTGTACAGCTGAATATTAAGGTATTGAAAGAATTGGAAAACCCCAGCTTTTGTTACCTACATTGGTAGATGTGGAGGAAGGATTCACAGAGTCTGCTAGTGAAGATGGGCTCGGGAAGGTCTCGGAAATACTGCTTCACCATATCTGCTACATCAAATGCCGACTGCCCTTCATAGCACACGTTGTTCGGGCTGGTTTCATTCATTTCTCTTAAAGACAGAATCCTGGATTTAACACCGGATTTTCGGAACAGGCCAACCTGCAGGTGAAAGGAACTATTTCAGATGAAGAGAGGAGGCATCAAGAATCAAACCTCTGACAAACAATTGATCCTTCACTTTCAATATGACCCTGTGGTAGTAGGATCTAGCACCGAAATAGTTTTGTCCCATTAGAAGCAGCACATGGCAAACAATGATTGATGCCCACAGAACCAGCTGTAAAAGACACACCAGTTGTCATGTCTGCTGCCTTTTTGTTTAAATCAAAATTACTCTTCTTGACTTCTTTTAAAATCCTTTTATTGGCACCTATTAGTATGCCTGAGCAGGCTACTGTCACATGAGAACTGCGGGTTTCTGATGCACCAGTGTGTGTTCATCCAACAGAAAACGTACATGATGCCGATGCTGGAGCAAAGAAACTCCCATTCCTGCAGCTCTGCTATGGAAACAGCATCTGCAGCGCACACTTCCATTGCCATGCACACAAAACGATACAGGACTGAAGGTATTCCCAGAAGGAAACAGCACCGGCATTTCCTCACAGGCTGCCTGCTCAGGCCTACGCCTTTTTGCCTGTTCAGAGCCTTGGGAGGCAAGAAAGTGCCTCACAAAAGCTGGGAACAGAGAATGGCTCCTGGAGCAGGATTCATTTATGGAACAGAGCTGCTCTGGGCTGCCTCAGGTTCATACCTGGTCAAGGAAGTGGCTTCTTAGGTAGTCCAGTGCTTGGAGTATGCCATTAGGGAGTGGGTGGCTTGTTCTCTGGACGTTCAGGAGTAAAGGAACCCCAAACACATTCTTGTCCTTGTAGTCAGAGGCTTTTATTTTTTTGATGAACCTTGGTATAGTCCTGAAAATAACAACGTGCAAGCAACTCATCAACTTTCCAGCACAGTTATACCTGCTACTCCAGTTATGTGCATGGGAAAGGTTTTCAACCTCAACTTCTGCTCCATACTTAACTGTACACATCACATCATAAGAGAAAATCATTAAGGGCCATTATAGGAATGCCTTCCTTCAAAACTGAAATCAGCTTTAATAAAGCATCCTCATGTGAAATATGTTCCACCCCTCTAGGACACTGCAGGCTTCTTCACTTCTTTCTATATTCAAGTACCAGATCCCTATCACAAGATGCTAAGTGGTATTTCTAAGTCCTCTGAATGACTTTGTCATTGTTTTAGTTCAAACAAGGACTTGATGCTGAGGAAATGGATACTCAGCCCAGGCCACTCTCACCTCAGGTCCTGCAATCTCTGTGAAGGATCTCTGCAAACAGGGCTCAAAGTTTAGAGAGAAACTGTGAAGTGCTTTAAAGTCAGTAACAGCATGACCACCAGGGAGAAGCAAAAGTGCAGTCCATAGCAGAGGAAACCCTGGAGCCATTGAAGCAACCCTGGAACTGCCAGTGATTTAACAGGATTAAGTTTCTCCTGTTGAGCACATGTAATCTAAGCAGACACGGAAATCCACTTGCTTGCATCAAATCCTCTCTTCCCCACACAGGTATTAGACAACTTACCAGTTCCAGCCTTGCTTACTGGAAGGGGAGTATCTGTCCATCAAAGTGGTGAGTTTCAGCAAAGCCAGTTTTTGTGTCCGGGCTAGCTGGGCTGCTGACTGGTCCTCAGTCTGCAGGGAAAGGATTCCCAGGTTCACATGCTCTTCCACAGACCAGTGTTGCTTCCCATGCCTGCAGGATAAATAATGTTTATACTTAGGACTATTCCCACTGTCCCTGTTAGTTTTCTGCCTGCATCTGTGAAGCACCTAACTCTAAATGACCTGCAGTTCCCAAAGACTTTATGGTGAGTGCATTTAACAGCTTTTCATCTGGGAGGTACAAAGTGCTTCAATAAGAAATGCAGCAAGACAGCCATAAAGTCTGAACTGAAATGGGTAAGCGCTCACACAGATTATGAGCACCCTCCTTTCAGCAGAGGTCAGAGCAGATGTAGACACCAGGGTGCCTGCAGACCTGGTACCTGCAGTACAGGTGGTCCCTGGTACCAGCACTGTAGACCCTGCTATGCAGAACAGACTTCCTTGGGAATACTTTGTTCTGGAAAAGCAATCACATTTTGAGTGGAGAGAATCAAAGGGGCAGCCTGCTAGGGAAACCCAAGGAGGGCTGACCTGCTGGTCTTTCTAGACTCTGCCACGTATGCCAGGCCTGCAGAACTGGCCTCTTTGTCCGGTTCGCAGCAGCTCTCTCCCACAGTGGCAGGGAGTCCTGCTCTCTTATCTTCTGAGCCGTGTGTTTCATGGCAGATTCCTTTAGGTGAGGATGGAAACAAAGAGGTCGAGTCACTGGCAAAATCTGAATCCCCATCATCTGAGAATTCCTCTGTCCACTGAGCAACCAATTGTTTGAGACCATTGACATCTTCTATAACACTGTTCAGTTCTGAAAATACATCATCATCACCAGCTTGTGCTGCTTCCAAATTATCAAGTTCTGTGTTAGGCATGTTGTCATATATGCTCATCCTGTTATCTGCACATGAAAGGTGACTCCTGGGGACTTTGGAGTCCTTGGAACTGCTTCTGATCTGGTTTCTTCTGCACCCATGAAAACTCCCAGTTCTCCAGTTGACAGAAGAGTTGTCTACTGGAGCCAGAGAGCTACTTGTAAGTGCTATGGGGAAGGTGCCAGGTTTATGGCCTTGTGGTATTTGAAACATCTGGTTCATTTGCAACTTCATGTCATTTTTGAGGTTTTGCTGAGATAGATCATTCCACAGAAAGAGTTTGCTGGAATCCAAGTCCTCTGCATATACCCCCCTTCCTTCACAGTGGCTGTGTGGGTTAATAGCAGGACTTGGAGCACTCACAGTGCTGCTGTTTTCAGACTGATTGCTGCTGTTGAAACTGTGGGGAGAAAAAGAAGGATTATTCTTTATTTGGAAGCCAGAGAGGTCAGAAATATTTACACAGTTCAGCATCTTCATCTTCTCTTCATTAAGTCCTTCCAGAAGAACAGGTTCACTTATCATAGGTTTGGCCTTTGACTGACCACTCCTTAAGTTGCAGCTCCTTAAATGCAACTTCTCCATTTTCTTTAGAAGGCTCTTCCTTTTTTTATAGGGTGACTTATCCAAAAGCTTCTCCTCACTGGTGGTACTTAAAAATTCACTGGGGGGAAGGGAACAACTAAAACTAGAGTCCAGTGAAGCCACCTTAACTGAGGAGCATCTTGAAGAACTTGCGCTGGTTTCTGCATCTTCAAAAGGTTTTGGGCAGCTAACAGTGTCACTGTCACCACTGCTAGCACTGTGAACTGAGGACACATCATGTTTCCTGCCAGGATCCAGAAAGGTTGCATCCTCATTGCTGGTGCTGTTTGGTATTGGACTGCCTGGGACTGGTGCACCAGCACCTTCCTTTCCTGGGAAACCTTCTGTGCTCTCGATACGAGACCATCTTTGACTGCACCTCTCATAAGCCCATTTGTTACTTATTGCACAAGGTTCGTCGTCGTCAGAGTCGTCACTCTTAGAAGGAAAAGAAAAAAAGAAAGTAGAGTTCAAGGGCAAAGTTTGGCAAATTTTAAATTACCAAAAATCATAGCAAAAAAGGGATTTACATTTTCTGCCTGCCTCCAAAACCCCAAGAGCAGCATATGGAAATGTCACCATTCAGATACTGAGGGTCTGCCCTGAGCTTTGTGCTGTTAGTCGAAAAACACGCTGATAAATCACTCCCAAGCATGCTGACCAATCTGATAAATTCACCCCAGGAAAAGATGACAAGATTGATTTGAGGATGACAAATCCTGTTTTGTGTCAAATCCAAAGGTTTTGAAAGATCATTGTATTTGGTTTACATTACCTTTCCTAAAGCCATACAAATCGAACACTCTTTCATGCTTCTGTGACTAAAACTCATCCAGTTTTCGAGTAAAGAAGCCTTTGGCTGTGGGGCTGTGGCAGCATTGATAGCTGGCACGCCCTCCTGGAGTGGTGCATTGATAGCTGACGCACCCTCAGCCCCACTGGCCACTTGCCCCACATGCTCCATGTGCTGTCCCCATTCCAAGTGACTTTAGAGAGATGGGAATGACCTGTGTCTCCTCTGCGGACCCTCTCCTGTCCCATTCTTCCCTGATGGCAGAATTAAACTTTCCCAAAAAATGGACATTTTTCCCAAAGAAGACATTATTTTCTTGCTGGTCCTGCAGTAAAACCCATGGGATCTGAGAGGCTTTCCAATCCTGGCATTAACCAGCCAAGATGTGGCTCTAACTGTTTTAGCTATAGTACTTGCAAGAGAGGGCAAAGCCCGCACAGCTAAAACCTTTCTCACACCTTTTGGCTGGACATTTGACATTGGCTGACACTATTTGGATTCTCCATTTTCATTTCTTATTTGTTTAGTCAGTAAGAGTGAAATTTCACTTCCAGGCCTTAAATATGATGTGAAACTGCTTAGGAAAGCAATAAAAGACATGCTGAGGTGGGGCCTTGGTGCAACTATCAGACAGTAATATGTTTCAAATTGTTTTTAAAGACTGCTTCAAACCCCACACCTAACCTCCCTTACAAAGTTACCCATGACCCATGACCATCATTTCAATCTCCATCACTATGCTTTTCAGTAGAAAATGCAAATGCTTTGTGGGATGTATGAGAACAGAAAGAAAAGTTCAGAAACTGCGAATCTTTCATACACCTTCTAAACCAGGTTTTTGACATAATGCTACCCACATTTTTAATGAGAAAGTGAACTGGATGATACAAACATACCTGTTTCCTCTGACGGCTTATCTCCACTTTCAGTGATGCACATTTGTTCAGTGTGTTAAGCCGCCTAGGATATAAGAGAGAAATTTTGAATTGAAACCATTTCATTTCTTGAAAACAGACCTGCACCAAACATGCTGTGAACTTCTACCACAGAGTCTCCATTCCCGCTGTCAAAGACTGACATTCTGATAGAGGTTGTCCATACATTTTGCCAAACCCAGTATAGTCCCATGATGTTCACAGTTCCAGTTCTGCCATCTTAAAATTGGAGAAGAGGACCATAATTAACTAGTTAATTAAAAACCACATGATGAGCTTTAATGATTTAATACTTTGTATAATGTCACTACGACCTCGGCTGAAGCAGACATGCAGACACGTGCTTCCTTTACCTTTCAACTCGGAAAACAACCAACTTCAGTGGCACTAAAGTATGTGCTTAAGGGATTTCCTTCAGTTGCAGCATTGGTGACCTTGTTAGTCTGACAAAAACTAAGGCATGAAAAGATGAACAACAAGTAACTATGGAGCCTGGAGGTGTTAAAGATGGTTTGTAATTACTGTTTACCTGAATAGTGAGTCAATGGCATCTCCATCTAAAAATTCATGATCTTTCCTTACAGTTCTTACATCAATAGGAAACTGCATATCTGTAAACAAAGAAGGTGAAGCTGAAATCCGAGTTGTAATTGCACAGACTTTGAACTGTGTGACATATCTATCACAGGTGAAATACATATAGATCCATTTCTATAACTATATATCCAGACAAAGGTCGTTCAAGTGAGGATCAGCTCCTTACAAGTGGCAGAGTAACCGCAGGTATCTGCTTGCTGTTCTTAATTACAGCTAGACAAGCATTTGCTGCAGTCCCAGGAGCTTGCAGTGACTAAGTACTATAGTCAAGAAATACAGAAGTATTTCTTTGCTTTGGCGAAGGTTCTCTGCACCTTCTGCCTTCCAGTACAGTACAAAACTAGGAGCATTTTACATGAGCTTTTGCTGATGGCAAGGTACAACGCAGCACATGACACATGCCCTTTGAGCTGTAGCGAGCCTGACAAATCATGCTGTGCTTGAAGCTAATCAATACACCAGCTGGAGAGATTTAGCCTTGCAGATGAGGGAGCCAGGGAGATCCATCAATATTTTCTTGGGTTACTTTTTAAGCTTATTTTACCTGGTCAGGTCAGGACACTGCATAAGCAGCAAGATAACAGAGGAGCCATTTTTCAGAATCATGACAATGTACATTTCCAATCTGTAAGATTGACAGCTTCCATAAATGAAACCTGCTGTAGTCAGACAGCAATAATTTCCATGATGCACCATGTTTCATAGGATACAGCTTTCAAATTTGGCTCTATTACTTGACTTCCAGGTTTTAATTTTGCCGTGCACGGGGGAGGAGGGAAGGAGAGCAGGCAGAGTTACTGTTGGTCCTCCAACTGCTGTTCTTTGATAAAATTGCTCTTAAAAGTAGATTAGCTTTTGTTGCACTCAATGTTTATAACAATAAACACATTTCAAAGAAGAACAGTTTCAGGGTATAAGCACAAGTGCTGCCTGAATATTACACAGGCTCTCAACAAACCCGTATCTCCCCCACAAGTAATAAACACTCCTTGTAGCTTTAATAACATGAAAACATGCTGAAACGGCATTGTTTGAATGGTTGGCTGCTTCTGAGTTCTGCTTTAAAAACTTGGGATTGCAAGACGATTTTTCCAACACTGTCTGTCAAAACACCAGTAAAACAAGCTTGCTCAAGACCAAAGGCTACAGAGTCTGAGATGAGGTTTGGCTGCAATCAAGGAGTTGGCAAAAACACCCAGCACTCCAAGGAAAAGAGCCTGAGAAAATGAGAAGCTTCTAAAAATCACAATAGCAGAAATTTGATGGAGTTATAGCCTAACAATAACCAGGAAAGTAGAATTCTCCAGCATTCTACTGACTCCATGCTAACCTGTCACTGCTGAGAGACTACGCTCCAGCTTACTGTTTGTCTGCAGGTTTGCATGAAGATACCACAGCATTTGGCAGTTCTTCCATCAAAAGTGTCAGGTTCTGAAGTATTCTTTACGCAAACAATGCCACTTGAACTCGGTGCCAGTTGCTCAACAAGTCTTTGGGTTCATACCTACCTTCAAACAGCTGTGCATACTGGGGGAACCCGGCAGCTCTCAGCCAGTCGCAGGCTTCTCTGGCTTCAATCTCTGCCATGAGAACATAAAGTTGTTCATTTGCAGAGCTCACAGGGGTTGTGCTTTCGCAATGTAAGCAAGTTAGTTTTATCTGGTGGATTCTCAGAGGAATATGACAGTTTTGTTAGTGTATTACTAAAAAGAAATAAATTCTTGTGCCTGATGTTCTCATACATGTCCATTGCTCTGGAGTAGTCATTCCAACACAGGATAGAGAGCAAACGTGCAAGAGTGTAGATATGAGCACATACTTGAGATGTCATACATGGATCTACATCAACTACCGCTGAGATATGGACAGGGAAGTGCCTGTTATATGTCAAAATGAGTCATGAGAGAAGGGTGTATGATGCACGTCTGTGCTCCTGCAGAGCAGAGCCCATTCTGCATTCCAGTTTGAAGAGATGGTGATAAGACACAAACAAATCCTATAAATAAACTCAAAATGCTACCACAACATTAATAGCACTGGACACAGGGTAAGTATTCCCAGAATAAGAGTTCTCAAGAGTACCTGTTGCTAGGGTCTATCAATGTCTATTTCCTTGCCAACTACCAAAGCAACTTGGCAGCCACTTCAGCACAAGCAGATGTCAAGAATGAGCAGCTTGTTTTGTGACAATTCAGAAAGCCCCATGGCCAATCCTGGAACATTCCCACAGGAGCAGGAGCAGAATATCACTTCACAGAATCACAGAACACTCACCAGATTCCTCAGAAACATAAACATACTCAGCATGAGTACAGGCTCGAACCTTTGCAAATGCTAGAAGCTGCTGGATCTACTGAAGATGAGAGGTTTCCCATGCTACACTTTTTGTGCTCCAGCACACCTTACAACAGACACCACCCAAAGGCAAAGTCTCATTTGAAAGAAACATTTTAAAACTACCTTAAAATCAAGCATGATCAGTAGAGAGAAATGTTTTTAAAGCTCCTTAAAATGCAGCATGCTAGGCTGGAGGAACATACCTGCTTCTTAAAAACATTTTCTTTACATATACACCCAAAGATTTGGATTCCAACTCACTTCACAGACATACCTATTCAAAATCACTGCTTGCTTTGCTCCAGCTTCTCAGTTGTAAGTTATCAGTGCAACAGACTGAAGAAACTCATCAAAACACTTACAGATCTTCCATGGTTTTATTATTCTACTTCTAAACTTGAAATTATTTCCATTATCACTTGATTAACTTGGACAATGCCATCTGTAACAAAGGCTTTTCTGCACAAACCCATGGCTTTTCATCTGAGAATAAAGCGATACCACAGGATGATAAGAATGTTTCTACATAAAACAGATGCATGACTCCTTTACTCCTTTTTTTTTCTTTCCCAAACAGCAGTACAGAAACTAATTTCTTCCACAATAGCCTATATACACTGTGCCTACATTTATTACTATACTTAGTGCCAGAGTTTATCATGATCTTAATCATAACACAGCATTTACTGACTGCCAAGACAGGGGACTGATAAAACACCAGCATTGTACTTGCAGAGCAAAAGAGGAAAGGAAAAGAATCTGTAGAGCCAGGAGGATGGATGACCAGCCTAACACTGACAAGCTTCACAAAGACTAACTGATTTTCACTTAGAAAACCCCAGTAGCCTCAACCAGCTCAGCCATGGAGGAGCTAAACCTGTCCTTATTCCACATCTCACTCTGAACTAGACAGCTTGAGCCTATGCACAGCTTTTCTGAGTGCAGACAGGAGAGCTACTGAGCAGGGGTTGAAGCTTCCCCATTCCCAACGCATTAGAAGTACAGCTCTAGTTTTAGAGCAAACAAAGCCATGAACAGTGATGTAAATAAGAACAGGCTAGAAAGTATTTTGCAGCCAGTAATGACACTTCCATGAACACACAATGACATTCAATACTTCGAGGTGGCCTCTTCCACAGGACAAGGACACAGGAGCTGAGGGAATTTTCTTTGCTAATGTAAATCCTCAGGCCTTTTCTCAGACCTCTGCACAGTCCCATGTTGCAGTGTCACTGCTGCGTTAGGAGACAACACATGAAGCATTAATAAGTTCTTGGCATGTCTACTTTTATTTGCCATTTGATTTGCTGTGATTATTTCACTGCTAAAATAACAATTGAAAGGGTCTCTGCTGCCTCTCCCCAGTGCTACTGGAAATTGAAATCCTGAAGACGTAATGGCTGGCTGGGAATTTTACTCTGATGAAAGGGAATTCCCAGACCAGCCCGTATTACTGTGAGAATGATCAATATGAGAGGAGGAAATAAAAAAGAAATAGGACATAATTGCTGGAAAGGAAATAACCAATCTCCATAGGGCTGCACTCAGAGCTGATGTGCAAGACTGCTCTGCTTTTATGGCATGAGATGAGTGAAAACTCACTAGATAGTACTGGCAGGATACAGATGAAGCACCCCAGCAGTGCTCTCCACCAGGGACCCCACAGGTTTCTAAAGCTCTGCAAATAAGAAGTCAGAGCAGTAAAAAAAGAGCAGTAATTGTAAGTAGCATTAATGGCTAACACTAACATACCTGCCTGGGGGATTCAGGCTGATATTAGAATAGCTGCTCAGATGCTTGTTGCAGAGAAGTTAGGTCTTCCTGAATAGCAACTGGAACTAGGAGAGCCTTCAGAAAGCCAGTATAGAACAGCACCGCAAAATACTATTGCAATTGCAGCGTATCTGCCTGAGAGCTACATGGCATGAAAGAGGACAACAACTTTTTAACAGACCTCTTGGGCGCTCTCTGCACCACTGAAACAGCAGAGGAACCTCAACAGGTCACCTCCTCCTCAACTGATTTCACAAGTAAGCAAATGCAAAAGAAATCATTTTACTGCAGAGCTCAACATTGTGTCTCAGATTAGAGGCTGCAGCAGTATTTCCCAGCCACACCAGCTGTGCTATGGGCAATGGGTGGCTACCCGATGTTCATGAGAATTAGTACACATGGCCTGTGCCATCTTCTGGCTGTGCTGTTACCCAGGTTCTGTGCTGAAGATGGCTTAGTCCAGCCCCACTGAAAACAGCCTTGACAATTGTTCCAATGACCCTGGGAGCCCTCCAGGGCCACTGCCCCATTTCCTCAATGGTGGTGCCATTCCGTGCCCCACTGGCTCCTTTCCTCCAGAGTCCCAGCATCCACATCAGCTTGGCTGACACCTCCTCTCCTTCATCAACTTGGACTTAAGACCAGAGAAACAGTGTTTCCCCATGTGCGCATTATCCTGTTTGCAGACTGGAGAGCAAACCCAGATTCATCAGGTACTTAGGAACCAGATGCTACAGCGTGTATTAAATCCCTATCAGAATGAACATCAATGTTGCCAGCAATGCTTGCAATAATAAAAAGACATCTGTGCTGAGATTTAGGCATTCTCCCTGAGATGTTCTCCTCACAAGAGCAGCACTTTGCTAACACCAAGGGAAGAGAGGCAGCAACTGAAACCAGCAAAAAGCTGAATAGGAAACAGGCCAGTCAGTCTTACAAGATAATAATGAGCTTCAACTGAAGAAGAGCGTCAGATTGTACTTGCCATGTTTAAAGCAATCCTGGCCAGCCAATGGATCAGGAAATGGCTCATGTTTCTTGGCAAGGTCAGGTATGTGATGCTTTGGCTTTCTGAACCAGCTGCCACATGCCCCAGTGGGCACCAGTGGTAAGATAACGGCCGTGGTGAGCACATGCAGGGGACACACGGTTGCTGGCAGCCCTTAGGGCAGCTCAGCTGTAGGAAACCTGAGCCTCACTGTCTTGTCTTTCACAGACACATCTCACTGGAGCTCTCCTCCATCATCGTCTTTTAGACTGTTTTTTGAATACGTGGTAGGTGCATTACTTTTGTTTCTATCCTCAGCTAAACCAGTTTTCCAGTTTGGACAGGTCAGAATCACGTGGCGATCAGGTCTTCATTAATTAAAGGGATTTGTGTTTAAGTCTGAACAACTTTCAATGCTGTGCCAGTGGGCAGTTTGAGAGGTTTTCTTGCTGTTTGCAGCACCTCTGTATTAGTTACTCCAGGACCCTACTTGCTGCTATGCAGAAAGGAGCAGAAACATGCCTTGCTGGGAGGCACTCATCCAGCCTCTCCTCCCTGTGCCATGCGAGTACAGGCAGGAGAACAGGCAAGGCAGGACTGCCTCGTGACTTTGACTGCATATTACACCAATCTGGAAGGAAACAGAATAGCCAAAGAGTTTTGTTCTTTCCCAATCTCTGTCGTTACACCGGAAGGCTTGTTTTTCCTCTCCACATGGCACTAACCCTCCCACCACAGCAACAGACAAGCAGACACCAAAGCCCCACCTTGAAACCTGCTGGATTTGGCACAGCACAACCAAGTGCGAGCACAGTGAGATGCTGTCGTGTCCTCCCATCACCACCAGTCCCCAGCCATTGTCCCACTCCCCTCCTCAGCACTGGATCAACAGCACTGGGCGTGCTTGGCAGCCGCACATCAAACCCTGCCATGCATTCCCCTGCTGCTGGTGAGCTGGCAGGTCCCGCAGCAGTGACACATCCTGCCAGTACTGGTTGTGCAGGCGGCAGCGGAAGCAACAAGGCTCTTTCAGGGTCCGTTTGAAGATAAAGTGTTGATTTTCCCATTGCATCTTTCTGGTCTGTGTATCTTCCTGGGTGTGTAAACATTTGTATGACTGCCCTATGACTTACAGCTGCTAATAAGTTATTTCATTCTATACACACTCAGCGAAAGATGTATTCACTGCGCTAGAACTATGATTTCCTGTGGTTGTTCAGGACTGCATTATTCCTGTGATGGGTTTTGCAAGAACTGTTTTTTCTTGTTACCTCCTTTTACTTCAAGAGAGAGTCTGAACATGCTGTCTACTCACTGCTGAAGGTTCACACGCAATGCTTTCAAAGCAGGGTGTTTACACTGCCCAGGATAAGCAGACAGGGGCTTGTAAAACTGAAACTCTCCAAATGCTGAGATGAATCATAAATAATGTTTGTTCTACTGTCCCTTGTGCAATGCAAAATAGCAAAGTCTACTTGTACT